TCTCAGAGCAGAGTCTGCCTGCAAGAGATCAGCAGCCGGATGGCACGGAGCTGGCCCCAGCTGACTGCAGAAGGGGTTGCTGACAGAAAGGGGCAAACACTAGAGGAGATGGGCAGAGAAATGTCTGCACAGCCTGTCTCCCACCCACCCCGCATCCCCTGCCAGGACATCTGCACTCCAGGCTTCAAGGGAGTGTGAAGCCGGGGAGGGGGAGGGGGAGTCTCTCTGACTCATCCCTGGTGGCAACTGCTGCAAGAAACTCCTGTGCTAAACTGAGCATTTACCCATTGATCTGCTAGGACCTATCTGCCAAGAGTGGGCTCCCCACTCCCTTTGCCGAAGGGCATTTAACAGTCACAGCAACACAGACCCCAGTTGTGCACTACAAGGGAGCCCATATCCGTAGTCAGGCTCTGCATGAAGGAAACTCTCGACATCTCAATAAAAGTCCGAGCCCTCTAGATTAACATGAATGGAGTTCAAGAAACCTCCTTCAGTCTGGCGTCTCCAAATAGGACCCACAGTATGTTAAGTGCCCGCAGAGCTTTCCGCCTGTATTTCTAATAAAGGGATTATACCTAATTCCTGTTCTGCTGTCTGAACATGCTCTTCCTTCCCGGGAGTGCGGTGCAAGTTCTTCAGCTCACAGGTGAGCAGCCACTAATGGGTTAAAGTCTAATTGTTTAAATCTTCTAGGCTTTCCTCCCAGTTCTGTGATAATTTGATGAAGAACTTCACCCTAATTAAATATTCAAATGAGGAATAAGTGTCAATATGGCTTCCCATTGCCTGGAATGATGATTAATTGTATTCAAAACTCTAGTGGCCACTGTAATCTAAACCAAACCGTTGTTCTTGATTATTTCTGCAACACATTTGCCATGTTTTTGTTTTAAAATTTAAACTAGTAATTGATTTGCCATATGCTACAGAGCTGCACGTGCTTTCACGATATGTGTTTAGGAACTTGGGGAGTTTGTAATTGGGATTTTCTTGCTTTTTTCAATGGCAGCCTATTTTTTTTCCTTCTACAATGCAAAATGATTTGGCTTTCACAACCCATAAGGAAAATTCATTATGCAATCAAGTTAGTAGGTATGAGTTATATTGATCCTGGCCAAATGTTTGCATTAATTTAAAATAAATTAGACTGTGTTTCCCTCCTGCCCCCCCCTCGTGTCACATTTTTTTAAATTAGAATTTAAAGTTCTGATCTTGCACTAGAAATGGCACTATCTCCCGTCCTGTGGTCTTGAAACTCCATTTCCTCCTTGGAGAGGCCCTTAAATACTCCAATCCCTGCACCAAGTTTTATTCTAAATGACGAAATCCCATTGGGCTATCAGAAAGAATGGATGTTCCCAATAGAGCTGAGTGAACAAGGGAGAGAGAATCCAAACACATTTGTATGTATTTGAAAACCTCCTCCTATTAGACAGTGCCCATGATTCAGTATTATTAAATTAATACCCCACTAACATTTGAGGTGCCATCACTGCACATGGACATGTGAAAAGAAAGTTATGGGCTTGAATGCTGACCAAAAGCAAGTTTCAAATTGTAGGTTCAGTTTTAATATTCATAATTTATTCATCATAGGTGTGGCTGAGTGCTCTAGGTTCAGAGTTTAACTTTGGTGTATTTAAGATTAAGAATAAACTGGAGATGGTGCTGAAATATAAGCCAAGAGCTGGATATGTGCTTCTCTACCGCCACAGTCAAGTGTACGTGAGCTGAGTCTGTTTGAGTCAGAGCAATTCATTTTAATTACGTTGGTGGAAGGTACACACCATCTTAGCATATGGCACTTATGAAACCTGGTGCTTGGTGTGAATTGCCAGGAAATTGTGGTGATAGTCGGGTACTTTGTTCATTGGGTATGTCCCAAGCCAAGGATTGAATGAAATGTTTATTTGAAAGCTCTTGGGCATGTGGAAGTTCACGATCTCAACAACTTATAATTTGCTTACACAATGTACACTATGAATTACTCTGGTAGACCCATTGTTTTTAGCCCGGTTGGTTGCTAAGGGTACGTCTTCACTACCCGCCGTATCGGCGGGTAGCAATCGATTTATCCGGGATCGATATATCGTGTCTCGTTAAGACGCGATATATCGATCCCCGAATGCGCTCACCGTCGACTCCGGAACTCCACCAGAGTGAGCAGCGGTAGCGCAGTCGACGGGGGAGCCGCGGCCATCGATCCCGCGCCGTGTGGACCCCAGATAATTCGATCCAAGATACTTCAACTTCAGCTACGCTATTCGCGTAGCTGAAGTTGCGTATCTTGGATCGATCTCCCCCCCAGTGTAGACCAGCCCTAAGAGATGCATGTCCTGCCTCTGGAGTGTGGGCTGGCTCTGTCTTCTTTTGAGGTCCTTTGCTGAAGAGTACTCTCCCCCTGGGGAAGATCCAGCATTTCTGTCGACAGACAATGTTAATCTCTGGTGACTTCCATGCGCTCTGTACTCCTGATTTCATCAGGCTACAGTAAGCCTTTAAATTATGTTGCTCAGAGACGTGCCCTTTGGAGGTCTAACTTATTTTCTCCCTGTGAATCTCCCATTGGGATTACTGTTTATGCATGTGGAAGAAGAGAACAGACCCCAACATAAACAAGAGACATTCAGGCATCCCTCACTGTTAATTGTCTGGATGACTCATCAGTAAATTCCTGGATAATTTCATTAAAAACGGAAGGAAAAGTGCATCACGCATGGAAGTGGTGTAACTGGGCTGGGGCTGGGGCTGGCAAAAATCCCCACCTGGGCAGAGTTTTCAATAGAAAACTGTTGGCTAAATTTGAAAACGTTTTCACATGGCCTTTTTGGTTATTTGTTTTAATGTTTACTTGGAAATAGGTCTGGAAGTACACACTGATTCAAAGCAATGTTATCCCCAAGGTTCGCAACCATTATTGTTGTTTTAAAAGCTGTTTCTCTGGTTTGTAGGAGTGTGTCCTGTTTTTAAAGGTAGCTGTTTTCCAACAAATATTTAATAAATAAAAATTCCTTGGCCTGGAAAACAAGCCAGACATTGTCTGCTGGAAAGTACGTGATGCTTTTTTTTTTCTTTTTTCTTTCTAAATATTGCATTTGTGATGGGGAAAGCACTAACTTGTTTTCTGGTAAATGGGCACCACAAAGTATCTTCCCTTGTTTATGTAGCTTTTAAATGTATGAAATGGACAGCTGCTGCCTCTTCCCTTCATGCTAGACTAAATCTTTGCTGTGAAGAGAGAAGCATCTTCATTACATGTGGCAACTGGGTCCAGAAGATTAATGATAACATTTAATAAAAATTCACACAGACCTAGAATCAGCAGTAGAAAATATAGATTTAAATTAAAAAGGAAAAGCTGGAATCTCCCATCAAAGTATATAAATCTATAGCTAGCAAATATCATCTCCTAATAAAATGTATTCCGTAATTGAAGGGCTTTGGATGAAGCTGTCTCTCCAGTTTAGTTTAGTGACCACATTAATTGAATCAAGTACAAAGACTGGTTTAGGGGACAAAATAAAATTTTCTTCTGCATTCACTTAGACGTATCAGGTGGCAGGAGAAATTGTGAAACTGACCTTTTCGTATTCCACCCAAGGATAGTAAATTGGAGAGTTGGTCAGTTTGCCATTAATAGAGGAGGCCTGGATGGTAAGTACGATCCAGCACAGGATTATGAAGCAGATGTCATGGGGCCATGATTCCCTGCCTGGTTTCTTGAACAGGGAGTGCAAGGAGCCACAAGGAGCATGGAACCTAGAAACTTACCTTCGTGAGTTAGTGGCTGTCAGGTTGAGGTTGAGGTTTTTTCCCTGTTGCCGAACAGCTGGTGTGAATAATCACACCCCCAGACTCCAGATTTTGAAAATCAACTGCTTGCAAATGACCACAAGACAGAGCTTGCGTTTCTGGCCTTGGTACGTACTGGTACTGGGGCTCCCTGAGCATCACTTCCAGCTCCTGGCCTGTGGCAGACGGGGGTTCTGGGAAGCTTGCCTGCATTCTCTAGCCCACTCTCTACGCCGTTCCCTACAGCATGTGCGGTTTTCTTTTAATAGTTCATAAATGCTGAGCTATTGAAATGGCCCCGGCTTCATTTCTGCAGGCTTGTTTTATTTACAGCATGTGCTGAAGTTAAGGCTTAACTAAAGTTTTTAAAATATGGGGGGAGGGGGGAGGGAAAGAGCCTGGCGTTGCTGCCCCTACAGCCATGTGCAGCTCTGCGGAGCATTTTCCTGGGCAGGGTTTAGTTGCTCTCTCAAGGGCAGTATGGAAAGGGTGAGGTGGAAAATGCTGCTGCCCCCTCTGAGTGTGGGGCTGGAGGAAACCACCTCATACATTTGGGTTCTGTTTGGAGCAATCAAGCCTGAGCTGCTGAGGGGAGGATGCAGTGGGCTGTCAAGTTTAAAAAACGTCTGCCCAGGGAGTGTGTTTGTGAATGCAGCAAGGTCGCAGTGCTTTACCTTACAGATAAATCCAGACCCACAGTTATAATAGACATCCACTGACTGCTTGAAAGATACACATTTAACTCCTTTAGTTCCTGCCTGTAGACTGTTAGTACTGTATCATGGGGACACTTCTGTAAGGTCAAGGTGATGCTCATGAAAAACTGACAGCTGCCCCATGCCCCTGCCACGCTGCTCTCGGGGGTGAGTGGGTGGCTGGGTCTCCGTAGCAGAGTCGCACCTTGCTCTCTTTGCTGCAGCTGCCCGTGAAGGTGCCAGCGCCGGGCTCCTCGCCCACTGGGAGCTGGACTGAGATGCCAACACATTTCACTTTAGCTGCTGAACAAGTTGGGTAATAATGACCGAGTCACCAGTTCTGTCACTTTCCTGTGATTTGGGTCCACTCTGCCTTTTGCAGGCAGCATTGCAGTTGCTGTTTACCACTTGAGCTCACAGGAATTATCATCAGTTTAAGGAATGGGGTGATAGCAGCATCTTCTCCGGCTCTGTAATAATGTCATCTCCATTCTCCCCTCTCTTCACTAGGCACATATCTCTGACGCTTCCCGCGAGCTTTCGAGGCAAAAGTAACAACTCCCGACTCGACTTTGAACACCAGCACTCAAATTTATATGCCATATCAGGTAAGCTAGTGCATGCAGTAATGACTCTTTTATACTGTGCTCTGTCAGTTTAATCAGAAAGTCTAGCCAAATAGAGCAGTCCTGGCTGCAGAAAAAGGAAAGAGGTGCGGGATCCATGCACTGGACTTCTAAGATTTCTGTCACTCAAGCATCAGAAACATGTGGGATGCGAAATAGTTCCAGAGGATGTTCAGGCACAACTGTTACTAACAGTGAGTGTCATTGTTCACTGGAAACAATGGAGCCAGGTGGGAGTATGGGTGCTAGAAGTGGGATTTTTAGGTAGTTTTTGTCAGTCTAATACCTCTGCTTATCTTTCTTCCTGTCCCCTTTGCCCTGATCCTTACCTTACCTCTCCTTATTTACCTCCTAAAACCCATCTCTTCTTTCCATACTTACAGGACACTTCTATCAGTGTGATAAGCCTGGTTTCCGCATAGATACTGCTCCTGTTTCTTCCCACCCCCACCCAAAAAACAAACAAACCCACCACATACGTAGTAAAAATAAAATAACTGAACTCCTGCAGAGACTGTGTTGTGTGCGGGCATGGCACAGAATTTCCTTACCGCCTCTGGGATAAACCAAAAACTAGACATTGTTTGGTTTTAAGGGTTTTGTTACTTATAGAACCTCTCTAGCATTATTATTATTTTTTTTTTTTGCGTACTTTATTTCCCTCCATTATCTGCAAACTCCAGAGTGGCCTTAATCTCACTCTCTTCAGGAGCATTGAGGCCTTTCACGATCTTTCCCCAGATTTCTTGGATATTGGAGGAGAGAGACACACCAGAATCCCATGCACCAACCCTACATGTAATGCTGAGCACATGTGGACTCTTTATTCAGAAAATGGCACTATTTGCCATCTGGGGCAGCCCTACACATACTAGAGCTAGTCAAAAGTCTCCAAATTTCAATGTGGAAAAAAAGTCAATGAATATTTTTCCTGATTTTTTTTCCTTACACTAGCTTTAGTGTGCATGTTAATGAAAGAACAATTAAAATACATATGTAAGTACCATGAGCAGGAACGAGACCATGGTTGTGTATAAATGAAAATAACCAGCCAGCACAGCATATCTTGGTTCCTGCACACAATCCGTGTCGGAACTGGGCCTAAAGCTCGGCCCGTGCTGACACCTATGCAAACCCATTTCAGGAGGACTTTTGTCTACAGATTCTTTATTTCTGTGGTTTGTTTGAGCCAAAAAGAACACAAAAACGGCCATACTGGGTCAGACCATTGGTCCATCCAGCCCAGCATCCTGTCTTCTGACAGTGGCCAGTGCCAGATGCTTCAGAGGGAACGAACAGAACAGGCAGTCATCGAGTGATCCAGCCCCCGTCATCCAGTCCCAGCTTCTGGCAGTTGGAGGTTTAGAGACACCTAGAGCATGGGGTTGCATCTCTGACCATCTTGGCTAATAGCCATTGATGGGCCTATCCTCCATGAAATTATCTAATTGGTTTTTGAGCCCAGTTATACTTTTGCCCTTCACATCATTCCCTGGCAACCCAGCTTGACTCTCAGATACCAGGCTGGAATTGCATGGCTGCAGCTAGGAGATTGTGAGGGGAGTTTTTATAAATATAAAATCTCACAGAGCCAGTCACTGTGCAGCCAAGAGCAGTGTAGTCTGGAAGCCATTTGCAGTCCACAGCAATAATAAATGTAGTGGTCCTCCAAACTACTGAATAATGTTATGTATTATGTGCCAAGATGGCATTCTTTATGTTAACTATCTACGTACAGGGGTGGGTGTGTGCATGTGTGTGTGTTTGTGTGTGTGTGTAAACACACACATAAAATCATATCCTGCACTAACAGCTACAGTTCAGAATAATATCAGACTTAAATGATTTTCTCAAAGTGCTTTTCCCTAGACTAATTTCAGGCCTTTAAAACTGTTGTGGTAGCCTTGGTGAAAAGCTAATTACCCTTAGTGTTCCCTTAGTTGTGTCACTTTCACAAAAGGAGGAAAATATCTGGCTTTAAAATTTATTGTGCCAAAATCTGGCCAGGAAATTGGCTGCCTCACTAGATTATGGTGGATTTACAGGTCTGATTGGGACCCCAGGAAAACCAGCCATGAAGTCAGTGGGTGTAAGATAGAGTAGGTAGTGCTTGCACATCCTACGGGAGGAAAAAGTGGCAAACCTGTGCCATCCACAGGATCTTTCTGTTAATGGTGAGTGACACTTCTAACATAGGAACATGGCATTAATTCATGTACCATAATCAAATGGTTATTTAAAAGGTAATCTCTCACTAAAACTGCAGCTTCAGCTTCCTGAATATGTGGAATATAACAATGGCATAATTCATGTCAGGACTGGTTTTTCTCATTACTCTTCTGCCCTGATAGATTTGGCTATGTAAGGGAAAGCATGTTCTTGTGCTCATATCACATAGTTCTAGGGGGAGGAAGGGAAGGTCATGAGTTCTCACTTGCTGACACCTCATGAGCCCAACGGGCGCACGCAGGCAGAGAAGCAATATTTCTGCCTGAAAGCTGCTGGAGAGACCCCTTGGTAGGAATTCCTAGGGACTGCTGCTTCCGGCAGCAGAACGAGCTTGGAAAGATGACCTATTTTATACAGACCCTGAACATTTCACCAGATGTTTACAGGCAAAGTGCAAAACAAGCCTATAAAACCAGGCAAAGCAACAGGCCTCAATGTTTGCACAAGTTTCAATCAAAGTATGTAACTTTTTTTCTGACGGCCAGTCCTCCTCCAGGCATATTGTAATACAAGCTGCAGTGCTTCCATCTGTTGTAATGGCTATTGCAGCTGTGAAACATTTCCATAGAAAAGGTCTAGTAATGTGAAACATCCTGTGCATTGGCAGGAATCTTTGTTTGCCTTCTGACCATTGCTGCCTTCTCAGCAGCCTTGATTAGGTGCTGTCTGTGACAATTCCCTCCCTGTGCTTTACATTATAAAGGTACGTTTAGCGTCACGACACAGTGGTAGCCGTTCAAAAATTTCCTGTTCTATGTAATTTGCAGTCAGTGGGTTTTATCTACAGTGCAGCCTTAGTGTCTTGCTCAGGGCTATGGTAACAGGAAACTTACGAATGTACACACCTAATTCCTCTGCTGGGGTCTAGATTTGCACAGGTAGGATACTGATTGTGCCCTGCTGCAGGTCTTGCTCTCGCTCCTTGCAGTGTAAGAGCTCGTGGCTAAGGAGAGACCGCAGTAGATACTGGCAACGAAGCAGAGTCCTTCAAAGGGGAATGGCTGGAACTGTTGAGTGGGAATCAAAATGGACTGAAAATCAAGGCTGGCCTGGGAGGGAGCTTACGGAGCCTGGATGTTTTACTGGGCCAGGTCAGCGTTGGATTAGAAGGAAATACTGTCCCCCCAGCTGCTTATTGGGGTTGTGCAAATGCAGCCTCCCGCTTCGGTGCTGTTTCCACATGCTGGTAGCTGCTGTGTGCCAGGCTCTCCCTGGATCCCAGTGCTATTGAGGAGCAGAGCAGTGTGCTGCAGTGTTTGAGACGGACGGTCCAACACCTTTCACTGGCAGTCTGAGTCCTCACCAGTCGCTAACTTTGTAGCGTTCCCGACCTGCACACACGTGAGCCTGACTCCCTGTTTCTTTTCAGTTGGTTAAAGGTAATTCTGTAACTGTTTACAGGTAGCTGCATTGTTCCTTCAAGACTCTTAGGACTATCAGAAATGTAGCTACAGTATCTGGACAATTTAGTGGGTCCAAATATTGCTTTGCTAAACAGTCAATGGGACAGTGGCAGATAGGCATCGGTGAAATCTGCTGCCTCTCTGCCTACCTATTAGCTCAAAAATGCCTTGTGAAAGGGACAATAACAGGGCTTTCCCCTGAACCACAAAGCCAAGGAAATTCTGAATTAGCCATGTTCCATATTCTCCCAGTGCAGGGTTCTGGCACTGGCTTGTGATATTCCCAGACTTAAAACTTCATTCAGGATGATTATCAGTAAATAAAGTATTAAAAAAAAAAAACACTTGCAAGAAAGTTGTAATGAGCAAAGACACCACCACTAAAAGCCAGGAAAGTCGGACTGCTTTCTGCCATAGTGTCATGGTTTTCCTTTAGCATAATCCCAGACCGATTTTACCTTTCTGTCCCATTCTCTCTCTTGCAGCCCTGAGTGACACATTGTGTTGATGATTTGTCATTACCAGGCAGTCAGTTATTTACAAGTGCCTAGTTTATAAAGGGTTAGGGATTTACTAAGCACCTCCCAAGTGTGGCTTTGCCTGCTGCATCATGATTGTTACCTAAAATCTATAACGATAGCTAGCAGAGTGGTGGAAGGGAGATGCAATGTCCTTCTTTCGCAGGTTAAGCTAGTCTCTAACCACTAGGGCTTCCTTTGCAGCGTCTAGTGCTTGCCACTGTGGGAGACCATGTACTGGGCCAGATGGCCCTTGGGACTGATCCAGTCTGCAGTCCCTGTGTTCCTATCCAATAATTTGACATTTGCACCTCTGAAAGCTTGCTTACTGCATCTTTCGTAATGACCAGTTACTCAGGTGAAAGCCTAGAACCGCAGTGTGGTACAGTGGGCCTTTGCTGCCTTTGGTAGTTACAGTTTGTGTGGCGTTAGCAGCGCCTCCAGAACGTTGGCTAGGAACTGCTGTGGGAAAGTTAGATTGCCTAGAGAGAAATCCTCCAGGAGGATGGAGCCGGCAGGTTGGGCTTTACTTTCGTTTTCCAGCCCCCTGCAGAGGCCAGTTTACACGGGATACTGCTGATTTCCGGAAGCTCCTGTGTATGCAGCTGACGGAGCGGTGCTGGCTCGCTGTCTGGCTCTCATAGAAATGGGAGTTGTTCTTGTCACACAATTCTGACATCATCCCAGGAAAGCAAAAGCAATTCCAAATAATTAATGATTTTTAAATATCTGCTTCCCTCCCATTGCAATTTTAATTTAGTCCTCATTTAAATAGCAAGCAGGTGGGCAGTTAATCAATTTCATAGTATGTATAATGATCTCCGTCACCCCT